ATTGCATTACCTAACATACGAGGAGAGATTACCATCATTGGGACTATATTCTGCGCAGTACCGCTGAACCCGAGGAGACTTGATTTTGACGTATCAAATACTGCAGAACCCAAACCTACCGTGTCGATCGCTTCTCATGTTATCGAACAATGTACACCTAAGGGGACTTCGTTTCAAACTACTGATTCCAAAGTCTCGACTGGATTGCCGGCGCCAGTCTTTTGCTGTCAGAGTATGCAAATCTTGGAATGCCCTTCCATCTCATGTCGTTTGTGCACCCACTATTGAAGCTTTCAAGCAGAGACTCGACAAAATCGTGGCACACCTCACATTCGTACACTAAAGGCAAACGGGATACACTGTAGCCTACATTCTCTATCTCCTACCCGGATCACTATGTGACTCCTTTTTTGATGTTTAACGATTCATCTGTGTAAACATCCTATGGGACAAGAGAAGCACCAACTTGTAAGCTATTCCCATAATAAAACTTTGACTTTGACTTTGACTTTGAAAGCGAGTCTGAGAAAGCCGCTTTTCTTCGGTACTTCGTCTGCTATGTACGTTGTAGCAACTGAGGAGATTAAGAGAAATGTCAACATCTCGCAATATTTGTCTTCTCTCTGTTCGAACGAATGAGAAATAGTTTCAAAAAACCATATAGTGACGGAGGAAGAACTGAAGACCAACTTTACGAAGAGGAAGGTGGAAGATGGAAATCAGAGTACCTGGAGATACTGTGAAATACTGACGTCAGGTTTATTCCACTCGAGTGCAAAAATTGATTTGATAGCCAGGCGAGAAGTTATGTTGGACGGTTCAGAGCTGAAAACTTTTGAGGAGGAGGAATAGAAAAAGAGGGAGTGGACGCAGTGAGACAGGGGCTGTCAATCTCCTTGAACTTGTTGAAAATTTTGTGCGCACATGATTAACCCGCATCGGATGTGACCTAGTCAGTTTCTGGACCGTTGAGAATATTGTGTGCGAACATCCATGTGGATTCCGGAGTGACAGCTTGATTTCATTTGAACACTCACTATGACTATTCACTTACTCAAAGTCCCTGGACATTTCATTTAGTTGGAGATGCTACCCCAGTGTAACAACCCACCACACACATCCAACTGTCTCTATATCCCTTCCCCTTCGTCATCACCCGTCGCAGCAACACCAACTCCCAGTATCTGATAAACTTCTTGATTGTACAACTGATTACGAGTTCGGTAATCGAATCCAAAGTGGTTCTTAATCTTTCTCCTTCCATGCGGTCATCGCCACGGTTAGGATGCTCATATGATCCTGTCCCATAACATCGAGGTATGCTTCAGAATGAAAAAGAGAGCTTCCTTAGATCGTTAACCACAAGCAAAGTGCACACAGGTGTTTTTCTTTCCGCAGTTTCGTCTCTGTCTGTCTGTCTGTCTGTCTGTCTGTCTGTCTGTCTGTCTGTCTGTCTGTCTGTCTGTCTGTCTGT